GGTGGGGGCTTCCGCCACGGCTGCGACTGCGGCGCTATGCTTGACGACCCTGTTGACGTCCATGCGCCAGGATTTGATGGGATGTTGCTGTTGGGGATCAGCGTGCGTACGCGCGAGCTCGCCCGCGTGTTACAGGCCCTTGCCCCTTCACGACCCCGCATATTTCTAGTCAAGGTGTGCACAGAATGCACAAGCCGCTTGGCACCCACCTAAACCTCCACGACCCCCACCCGGCCCCGCCAGGACAAGGATGCGCTCGTGCAATTCGGCAGGGCCAACGCCATCGACTACGTTGCGCTCAGCTTCACGCGCACGCCCGATGACGTCACCGAGGCGCGCGCGTACCTGGACAGCGTGGGGCTGGAGGGTGCCAAGATCATTGCCAAGATTGAGAACAAGGTGATGTATGTGTGTGTGTGTGTGCGTTTGTGTGTGTCTTGATGTGTGTGCGTGTGGGGGGTGCATGTGCATGTTGCATGTACGTGAATGTGCGCGCGCGCACAAGCTTGGCGACGGGCTCACGTGCACATGTGCATGGGCGTGTGTGTATTCGAGTGTGCTGTGTGCGTATCTGTGTTTGTGCTCTTTTGTATTGAAGAGCGGCGGGCCGTGTCTTGAGTTGATCGCTAGCCACAATGAGAACAAGGATGCACGGCCCAAAATCCAGAACACAGTGCAGTTTCCAAGGCATGCCCCCCCTCCCTTTGCCCCCTCCAAGCAACGTCTTCCCAACTTTGGGCTCGCGTTAGCACCCCGAATGATGGTCTGGCCGGCGGCAAACGCGACACCAGCCCCTCCAACCCCTCTATGCCTGCCCCCCCTCACCCCCACAGGAGGGCCTGGTCAACTTCCTGGAGATCGCCAACGCCGCGGACGCCATCATCCTGTCGCGGGGGTCCATGGGCAACTGCCTCGACCCCGAGAAGATGTTCCTCGCGCAGAAGATGCTGCTCTCGGTGGGGGGTGGGATGGATGCGTGCTCGGGTAAAATTGCAGCCAAGTTTGTCAGTGCTGCGCTCCATCCAGGGGCACCGGTGGTTGTCGGTGGCTGCACAGTCTGTGGCGCAACAGATTTATAGAAGGTGCTGCGGTCGATGATGTCTGTTCTTGTGGTGGGGCAGCACACTACCTGTGTCGTGCAGGCCAGCACGCCGCAGTTTTCAACACTGCCGTCACCAGCGCACGCTGCTGCAGCGACGACGTCTGAGATACCATTCCAATGGCCTGCCTCCAGGCATAGGCGGCTGTCAGGACCGCATGCCCCGGTCGTCTTCCAAGGGTGCCCGCTCAATCTACCCGCTTGCTCCCGCTCCCCAGGAGTGCAACTATGCTGGCCGGCCCGTGTTTGTGACGCGCGTGGTGGACACCATGACCGACGCCCCGCGCCCGACCAGGCGCGCCGCCCGGGCCGCACCGTCAGCTGCGGTCACATGCATGCGCGGCCGCGCCCTTCCGGCGCCGCCCTGCTCGCGCCCTACTCTGCCCCATCCATCGCCGGGGCCGACCGCAGCAACAGCGTGCAAAACCAGGCAGGATCAAACCGGCACCTCCCATGACATTATCAGCTACCCGGTCGGCTCTGCGTATCAACTTTGCGGCCATGCAAGCACCTGGTCAAACGCTGGTCAAACGCGTCTGCCCCACCAATCTTGACCTACCCCCAGGGCTGAGGCCACTGACGTGGCCAACCTGGTGCTGGACGGCGCCGACGGCATCGTCCTGGGCTCAGAGACGTTCAGGGGGAAGTTCCCGGTGAGAACTAACCCCTCGTGCCGGGACCGCTGCGATGCGTTGTAATACAGGCATGGCAGAAACCAAACGCTTTCGTAGCGTTGGCGTGCCTCACCGCGCGTGCCTTTTCAACGCCTGGTCCCTACCTGACCGCCTGCCCGGCGCACCGCGCCGCGCCCCCATGCTGCCAGGTGGCGTCGGCTGAGACGGTGGTGGCCATCGCTCGGCAGGCGGAGCACTCTTATGACTCGTACAGGTGTGGTTAGATACAAGGGCACCGAGTGGTCCCGGGCAAACTCATTTGCAAGTCGCATGCGGCAAATGATGCACATCGAACCCATCAATTGTAGAAGCTGCCTGCCGGGCCCGCATCACATACACCCTGCTGGCTGGAAGGGAACTGGTTGCCGCCAGTGCAAAGGCGCCGACCACTGAACCAAACCAGATTGCACGGGACAGCGCAGCCTCCTCACCCATTTTTGACCCGTCAAAACCCTGTAGCACCACGATGCGGCGGCCCGGTCCACAGTCCACTCTCCAACACCTGCCACTGCTCTCTCGGCGGCAATGTTTGTTTGTGAATCAACCCAACCTAAGTTATTATTTTACATCCAAAACCACCCCCTGAACGAAGGTACTACCAGTACGTCACAGAGCGCATGGGCCTCAACACCCTGGAGACAGTCATGCACGACAAGGTGCGGCGTGTGTGTGTGTGTTTGTGTGTGTGTGTGTGTGTATGTGTGTGTGTTTGTGTGCGCACGTGCGCATGCATGCACCCGTGTGTGTGTGTGTGTGTGTGTGCACATGTGGGTCATGCTGAGGCGCAAGGGCGAGGATCAGCTAGCTGCCTCTGGCTCTCAGGGTTGTGGAAGAATCTCCAAGCAACGACGCTTCCGCACAGGCCAGGGGCTCCGCTTTTCGCCCCACGCGCCGCTTGCCCAGCCATTCAAGCGGCGACAGCCGGCCGTCTCCACTTTCACCATCCGCGCCCTGCCTCCCCCAAGAAAACGTTCGTACGCCACGCCGTCCGCCCCGCCTCGCACACCTGATTTGTCGCTCACGCGCAGACCGAGGCCCTCGCGACTGCGGCGGTGCGCGCCGCGACCAAGCTGCGGGCGGCGCTCATTATCGTGTTCACTGTCACGGGCCGCACCGCGCGGCTGATCGCCAAGTACCGCCCTGGGCAGCCCATCCTCACGGTGGGTCGATGCCGCATGCCCGTTTCGCCTGCCCCTGGATGCTGCAGACCCACCAGCCCGCGTGTGGTGATTGTTGGCACGCGCGCGCTCACACACACACACACACACACACACACACACACGCACGGACGCACGCACGCACGCACGCACGCACGCGAGTGCGGGCACACACTCGCAGCAAAGCCGAGGGGGCCAGGCGGGGAAGGGGGGCCGCGCTAGAAAGCAGGGATCCAAGCACGGGACTGGGGCCGCTCGATCCCAGCTTCTCCCGCCACACCTGCCCCCTCCACCACACATGGGCCTCCCGCGCCTCTGCGCTCACACGTCACCCTTGCCAGATGGTGATGCCGGCCGGCTGGACCCCAAACAAGCCCCTGGCCTCTGCAGACGACTACCAGTCAGCCAGCCACCTAGCGGCGGCGGCTGCAACGGACGCGGCGGGCGGCGGCATCTCCGAGGCGGTGGCGGCGGCCGCGCGGCAGTGCCTGCACTACCGGGGCGTGCTGCCGGTGGCGGCGGGGGGCGGCGCGCGCGGCGCTCTCGCGGGCGACTCGGCGGCGCTGCACGAGGCCCTGCGAGTGGTGGGTGCCCAGCGCGGTCCCGGCGGCTTGTGCGCGTCTTTGCATTTGTTTGTTTTTAGAGTTCGAGGGTGTCCGGGCATACGCGAGCGTGTTTGTGTGTGCATGCGCCCACAGTTGTGTACGTGCGTTTGTAATTGTACGCGCGTGTATTTGTGTGTGTGTGTGTGTGTGTGTGTGTGTGTGTGTGTGCGTGTTTGTGTGCGCGCACATGCAAGCCTGTCCTCACTCTCAGCACCGTCGCAAATGCTGACATCTCACACCTAGAAGCCCACGCACCCCTGACTGCTCCCCCCAATTGTGGCCCAAAAGCAACCCGCACCGCAACGCACTGACCGCACGCCCCGCCCCCAAAAGGCGCACGAGCGCGGCCTCACGCGGCCAGGGGACCGGGTGGTGGTGTCCCAGTGCCCCCGCGTCCACCAGAAGCACGCGGACACCATGCAGGAGCGCGGCGTGGTCAAGGTGGGGGCTTCGACCGGGCCGCTGGTTGTGAGCCGTTCACATCGCCGTGCGCGCACGCATGCGGCAGGGGGAGGGATACATGGTTAGAGAACACGAGACGTTGTGTTGGCGCATGCATGCGTGTGTGTTTGGGGTGGGGGGTTGTGTGCGTGTGTGTGCGTTTGTGTGTGTGTGTGTGTATGTATGTGAGTACAATCACCATATGTCTGACGTCATGACTTGCCACAATAGCAGGCAGCATCGCTCCACCCTCGCCACCTCCGCTCACCCCTGCACCCTGACCCCAACCCCCCTACCCTCCCGCCACGTGCCCCTCGTCTCCGCAAACCAATGCGCCAGATCCTGACCCTGGGCGCTGACGGCGTTGCGACGCGCGTCGCAAACGCAGTCCTTGACAAGGCCGGCCACGTGGTCGGGTCCGTCGAGGAGGACGAGACCGACCTGGTGTAGATCACAGATAATCACAGATCACCCCCAAGATCTTCAGATCGCAGCAGCGTCCAGACCCCCACCTCAGGCAGCCAGACACAGGCGTGCGCTCTCGGATGGCCCCCCACTCCACCAAGACTGCCGTGCCGCCGCCTGATGCAGCCGTTCTTTTGATTCTAGTGAGTAGGCGCGACGCAGCCCGCCCTTGGATAGGGCAGGGGGCGTCAAGGGCCGCGGCACGGAGGGCAGGACGGACGGACCAGCGCCCCAGGTCAGCAGGCGCCGCCACCCTACGAAGCGTGCCGGAAACCGCGCCCTGGCGTTGCAGCCGCCGGTGAAATTTTGGACGTGAGGGCTCCCGTGCTGCGCGCCGTGGTTTCGATGGAGCCTGGAGCATTCCCCCTGTGCTGAGGCCACTTGAGGGCCGGGCTGCTGCCAGCAAGGTTGAAGCCCTGTGGACGGGGGAGATGCCGCGTGCCAAAACGCTCAGACACACTCGCGTTGGGTGCGGACTGGGCGTGTACCCATCGACGCCGATGTCGGCAGGTGGTGGAAAAATCACGATTCCAGTCGCCTGCACAACCCGGCTGGCGAGTCGCGATTGGGCGCCCAAAAACAGCACATGCATGGATTGCACCCTGATGCATACTTGAAGAGTGCCAATGTTTTCGAGCACTGCAAGATTTTGTGCGTGCAAGGCAACACAACCGCGGCTTGTGTCATGACGGCCTGCCCGTTTGTAAGCGGAGCCGCTTCTTACGTGTGTTGCAGACGCGCGGGGCGTGCATGTCTGGTGAAGCTGAATTGGTGGGGGCGCGTGCGATGCGGGCTGTTCAGTCAACTGGTCAAACCAGTATGCGGGTGGCTAAGCCCTCCAGTGGCAGCGCCCTTGACAGAGGCCTCCCAAACAAGCGTTTTCCATCTGGCTCGCCTCTAGGCGAGCAGTCACGAACCATTGACCACCCGCAGCATGGGGCAGCACAGCGGGTGGTGCGTTGGCGCGCACTTCCCCACGAGCGGCGCAAGGTCTATCCCTCTTTCCGCGGCAGCGGGTGTCTGGCGTTTCACAGCACGCAGCAACAATGACCACTCGTGAGTCCCTCGCGCTGATAGGGCAAGCCGTCGTGCCTTGCTGCCAGCACCCCCACCCGCAGCAAGCAAGGGCGTCATAGCAAGGCTTTTATAGCAGTAAACGTAAAAGTATTCTGGAGACGCTTCTGAGGCGGGGTTCTGGTAGAGGAGGCCCAGCGAGTTGGCCGCCCCGCGTTCTGAGCTCTTGTCGGTCTGGCCGCTTTCGCAACGCAGGGCTCAGGAAGCACAGGAAGAAGAGGGGGCACGTGAGCGCGGGCCACGGTCGCGTGGGCAAGCACCGCAAGCACCCCAGCGGCCGCGGAAATGCAGGTGGCCAGCATCACCACCGCATCCTGTTCGACAAGTACCACCCTGGATACTTCGGCAAGGTGAGCTGCATTCAGATCCTGGCCTGCGGCTGTCGCAGATTGCCACCCGACGCTCGCGCCGCTGCCGCCGCGCTCTGCTGCGTCGGTCGTGGCGCATCGCCGCGGCATCGAGCAGCGTGCATGCTTCGCTCATGCCTTGTGCAGGTCGGCATGAGGCACTTCCACTACAGCCGCAACAAGTACCACTGCCCCATCGTCAACCTGGACAAGCTCTGGTCCCTGGTTGGCGAGGAGGTGCGCGGCCTTGTGTTGATATCGCGTTCCAGCGAGTGCGGTTAGGCTTTATATCGGCCGGGACCCGGTTGTTCGGCAGCCGTGACTGGGACGGTGTTGCCGAGTGCGTTGGTCGCATGTGCGGCCGAGGGCACGGCTGGCATCCATGCGCCGCCCCCTGCCTGAAGTAGACGAGGCCAGCGCACTGCCGCGTGCACCAGCGTGCGTTTCGTCACCAGCCATGTGCCAGCAGACGCGTGCAGCCTCAATAGCACATGATGCCCATGTTGGGCGCTGCAGTTGGACGCTAGTGACGGCCATGAAGGACTGTCTGGATGCATCACCAAGCATCATTCCTGCAGAGCTGCGGCTGACCCTAGGTCACCTTGCAGAGTGGGAACAGCCATGAGCGGCAGCGCCGGTGGCAGCGGCTGGCAGCCCGGATGCCTTGTCAGCCGACCAATCACCCCTGCACCCTTGCGCAGGCGCGTGAGGCCGCGGCCAAGGACAAGTCCTCGGCCCCCGTGATCGACGTGACCAAGCACGGCCTGTTCAAGGTGCTGGGCAAGGGCCAGCTGCCCGCGCAGCCGGTGGTCGTCAAGGCCAAGTTCTTCTCCAAGCTGGTAGGTGCCCTCTGCTCCTGCAGCAGTAGTCCAGAAACCGACACTTTGGGAAAGGGGTAGACCTGGGCGGCACCCCGCTATTCAAATTCCCATCAGCAGCAGCCGGGCGCGCCGCGCTGCAACCTTTCTTGCAATCGCTGCATTGGTCTCGAGCACAGCGCATTGTCGCGCTCTGTCCCAACCCACCCTGCCATTGTATGGGACCTGCATGCAGCGGCTCATTGCTTGCGCACCGCCCCTGGGCACCCCTCGCAGGCCGAGAAGAAGATCAAGGAGGCGGGCGGCGCTGTCGTGCTGACGGCATGAGCCGGTGGTGGCTGGTTCACTCCTTGGTAACATCATTCTCGCTGTAGTGTTTCAAGCAAACAGGGTAGCGGGGCCAAAATCGGCAGCTGTGGTGGAGGATTTAAACAGGCGCACCGCCCGGCGAGCCCAGGCGGAGAGCTGCAAAGAAATTGGGCGAAATGTGAGCCAGGGGATGGCGCAGCAGGGTTGAGCAACACGCAGGAGCCGTGCTTGCAGCAGGCCAGGATCGCGATAGTTGCACGGGACTCGAACTAGAATGCAATGGGCCGGCGTACTGTCTCGGCCACAACGCAGGTGTGCATCGGCCCCCAAACGCATCGACGACTCCAAGGTAGTTGAGGTGTACTTCTATCAGACACCTTTCAGCATGCATTTTTACTTCATCAGGAAACAGCTCCAGGCACCTTATCGTACAAGCGTTGTGCTCATGTTCTTTATGTTCTTCCTTCTGTTCGAGCGCAGCGGCGCTGCACATGGGTGAGTGACGACGTCGCTGCGTCGTCCCTGCCCATTAGGTCCCAAGACAGCCCCACCCACAAGGCAGCTTGCAATTTAAACGTATGGCTGGCACCCACTCCTGATAGCTTGCAACCCGGCCACCTCGTGTTCTCCCTGCCCTCGCACTTCTGGTTGCTGCGCTGAGCCGTACCTGACCTCGATCACGTCCCTCCCTTGCAAACACGCGACAGTGATCTAATCGATACGATTTCTGCCTAGCAGGCCCCGCGAGGAAAACGCTCCCCCAACACAACACTCGTCCCTACTCTACGTGGGGCGCAGTCCCTAGCTAGACGGCCTGTAGCGGCCTGAAAGGGGTCTCAAAAGCGCTAGTTATCACCGTTTAAGGCCCCGCACGGGGCCAGACAGGGCCGTTGAGGCGGCCATGTCTGCCAGCAGCACGGCCCTCGGCCTTTTGGCACCCCTGCGGGCGTTCGGACGCGCGTACAATGCTCAAGCACAGCGCAGGCCGATGTCCACGGGTCTTGTCACGACCGTGATTAAGACGAGCGCGGCCGACCTCTTTGCGCAGACGGTGGGTGGCGCGCTGTCGCGCTGCTGTCCTGTGGCGTGTGCTGCCGCTCATCGTGCGCGCTGCCGCCAATGGCAGGATGTTGAAATTCATTATTCCACACAATTGAGTGCCTGCGGCGGTGCTATTGCACCGGTCAATGCTGTGACGGCTGCGTCGCAGTCGCCGGCCGCATTGCGGTCGCCGGCTCAGACAAGTGCACTTGAATCCACGCGCACGCGCGCAGGTAATGGAGGGCACAGAGTTCAAGGATGTGGACTGGAAGCGTCACGCTGTGTTTTGCTCCTTTGGTTTCTTCTACCTGGTGAGCAGCCGCGCTTTGCGACCACCGCACGCCGCGGCTGAGCTAGAGCACCGCCCCTTCCACGCCCCTTCCACGCCCCTTCCCGCGAGGCGGGCGCTGCCGCCGCCCGCCCGTCCCCCGCGCCCCGCCTGGCGCCCGCGGCACGCCACAAGCCTCGGGGTCCCGCGCGGGCCCCTGTGCGGACCCCTGTGACCGCAAGCCGCACCACCTGGTTGATGCGCAGGGCGGCTTCCAATACTACCTGTACAACCACCTCTTTGTCAAATGGTGCCACGGCATCACGCTGCGGGTCGGCCACTATGGGTCTGCGCCCATCAAGACCTTCATCGACCAGGCCATCCAGTGAGTCGGCCCCAGGGGAGGTTGCATGGCATCGGGCCTCAGCAAATGGCATGCTGGCGGGGCGGCGCGGGGCCAGCCACCGCTGGCGCGCCCCAACCTCGGACGTCGTCCCTTGCGCGCCGGCCGCACCCGGCCGCGGTAGCCCTCGGCCGGAACCTCGGACGCGCGCTGCAGGGCCTCGGCTGCCGCAGCTCGCCCGACGCGAACCTCACTGGCCGCCGTCCTGCCCGCTCCACTTCACCTTTTTCGGCCTGCAGCCACCCGTTCTGCTACTTCCCGTGCCTCTACCTGACCAAGGGGGCATTTGAGGGCCGCCCCATCCAATCCACCTATAACACGTACAAGGTGGAGCTCTGGGAGAACTGCAAGGCCCTGTGGACGATCTGGGTGCCGGCGCAGCTGATCAACTTTGCGTTCGTGCCGCGCCACCTGCGCATCCCCTATGGTGCGCGTGCGACGAGGGCGTGCGCGTGCCGTGTGTCTGTGACGGGGGCATTAGTAGTGGGGCATGCATCCAGTGGTAGCGGCGGCTGTGCAGGAGGTACAGGGGAGTGCATGTTTCATTGACGAGGGGGCGTGGCGTCGCCGTTTTTTCACATCGGTTTCAGGCAGAACCCATCGGCCACTGAGCAAGTCGTGCCCCTGAGCAAAACGTGCCACGCTGCTGCGACACACCGCAGTTGCGGGCGTCTCGTTCCTGTGGACTGTCGTGATCAGCATGATGCGGGGAGCCATGGAGAAGGCGCCCGCGCCCACGGCGCAGCAGATCGACGACGCTGTGGCCGCTGTGGCGGCCGCTGCCGCCGCGCTGCAGCGCCGGTCGCGGCCGCCGAGGCGGCGACTGTCCTGGAGTCGCGGCCGCAGGCGCAGCAGCAGACGCAGGCGCAGGCGCAGCAGCAGCTGCGTGCGGGCGGCAGTGCTACGAGCAGCGGTGGCAGCGTCGGGGACGACGGCGGCAGGGGGGGCAGCGGCGGCGGCATGGTGGTCGCGAGCAAGGGGACTGTGCGGGGCCCTGCAAGCGCCGGCCTGGGCCTGAAGGCGCTGGTGGCTTCGCCCGAGGTGCAGACGTGACTGCGCCTCTGCAGCTCCTATGCCTGCGGGGCAGTCATGCGTTGGGTGCGACTCCCCTTCGCTACACCCTGCATGCGCCTGCACGGCTGCAGAGGCGCCCACACGCTCGTTGTTGCGAGATGTGCGCCTCGGGACTCGTCGTCAGTGGTGTGCATGCCATCGGTTGGCGCGCGGCTGCGAGTGCTACCCGGCTTGCGAGGCCATGCCATCTCATGCGGCGCTGTCGGCGCTGCGCCTGTGCGAGCGCGCGGCGCCGGTCTGACGCCTTGATCAGCAGCTGGCCGCATGCGGGCGGCTGCTCTGGGCGGTCGCCAGTTGTTCGTGCCACGCCAATTTTTTCCTGGTCGTTTTGTGCTGTCGAAACGGGTGCAAGCAGCGGGCTTGACAAAAACCCCTTTGTACGTGTATGTGCATGGTTGATGGTGTGCACTTGCACACGTGTGTGGTTTTGGTGGCCGCTGCCCGCGTTTGTGCGGGCGGCTGCGCGCGGTGCGTCTGACCTGCAAGGAGAGAGAGGCGCCCCAGGTTAGACCAGACAGCGAGAGAGAGAGAGAGAGAGAGTCTTTGAGGGGGCAAAGGCGCCTGAAGGTGGCGTGAATTTCCCCCAGCTGTGGCACACGCCCGGCCAGGCTTGACCTGCTGGTTGCTTTCCCTTGGCTCTTGTAGCTCGTGTTGCTTGGTTTTGCATCGGTTAGCAACCTGTGCTTCGTCTTGTGGGCTAGCTGTGTTTCCATCGTTGCCCCATTGAACGAGGCTCAGCCCCTCCGCCCGGCCCAACATCTTGACCCCACATGCGGGACGCTTGGCCCGCTGGCGCCGCCCACATGCGTGCGTTGACCGGCCGCCTGCGCATGTGCGATCGCATGCACGCACTGCGAACTTGGGCCCACAAACCCACCCTGTGCTCATACATACAGAAACTTTCCGCATTGCGGGAGGCGCTGCTGCGAGCATGGCCCGGCGCCTATGTATGTAGGATTGTAATTGCTCAGCATTCTCTGCCGCTAGGCAGAGGCCCCGCCAGTCCTGGCTCCCTGGTCAAAACATGGGTGCGCATCACCCTGGCAGCCTCCTTCTCCGATGAGAACAGTGCACAATTTGAAGCGTGGCGGAACATAGCAAACTGGCCACGCCACGCGCAAAAGGGCACATTGACTCCCAGCATCGAGCCGCCTGCAAGGTCGGCCACTGGGTTGCACTCCCAGGACCGCCAGGCTGCCAGCGAGCTGGTTTTGCCTTGGCACAAGTGGAGCTGGTCGTGCCCTACCTTGTTAGTACAAACACGATCATAAGTTGACATCTGAGACACCTATAAAGTAGCCCGTAGATTGCTCAGGCAAGGGCAGCGCCAAGATCACTTCCTTTGGCTCACTCTAACTGAAGCCACACAATGGCGTCTAGCTTGGAAGAACACCTATCAGATCTGCTACATGACAATCCCTTGGGCATGGCCGCGGCCGTGGCCGTGCTGGCGGTGTTGCTGCTCCTGGTGATGCGCCTGGCCGCGCCTGGCAAGCCCAAGACTTTCCTCGATCCCCAGCAGTTCCAGCCCTTGACCCTGTCACGGATCGACACGCTCACGCACAACACGAAACGGTTTGTGTTCAAGCTGCCCGATCCCAGAATGCGCGTGGGGCTCCCCACGGGCCAGCACATTACATTCCTCGCAAAAGACTCCGATGGCAAAGACGTCTACCGCCCATACACGCCTGTCACCGACGACGACACACCCGGCGCCGTCGAGTTTGTGATCAAGCTCTACGAGCAGGGCAAGATGTCCCAGGTGCTTTCAAAGATGGGCGTCGGCGACGCCATGCTGATGAAGGGGCCCCGCGGGCGCTTCTCCTACAAGCGCAACATGAAGCGCGCCTTTGGTGGGCGGCCGTCGAGGCGGGTTCCCGCATGGAGTCGGGGTGACCAGTGGGTAGTGGGCGCGGCCGCGCGATGGGGGTTACGGCAGCCGCTGGCGGCGGCTCGGTTGGGGAGTCGACCACAGACCACCAGCAGCTGCGCTCTTGTGCAGACAAGCAGCAAGACGGCACTGCGCCTCACCAACGCCGCACCAGCACACGCTTGGCGCCGCCCACCCTCAATCCCGCACTCGCATGCGCCATGCGCGGGGTGCCTCCTGCCCTATTCTGCGACAAGGGATGATTGCCGGCGGCACGGGTATTACGCCCTGCTACCAGGTGGCTGCAGCAATCCTCAAGGACCCCGCGGACACCACTAAGGTGGGGTTGGGGGCAGCTGCTGGGCAGCTGCAACATGTATACCGAGCAGCGCAGCCCGGTGGGCACCCGAGGCAGAACGCAAGACTGCGTCGAGCGCGGCGGTGCGCCAGCTGCGATTTGGAGCAGCGCTGCCAACGCGGCTGGGGTTTGACGGGGGCGGGCGGCTCCTGACCGCTGGCTTGGGTGGCCAGGCCTCCCAGGGGCGGGGTGCGGCAGTTCATGTGAGGCGCGGCTCTGCTGCATCTGCGAGCTCAGGGTTGACGCGGCTGCCGACGTGCGGCCGGGTCACGCTTTAAGCTCGCAGCAGACTTGTCGTGGTGGCCGCCGCGGCTGCGCGACATAAGGGCGGGCGCATTCCTGAGAGCTCATCTTCATCGGCTCGACCCCGCAACCCACGCCAACGCCTCCCCACTGCCAGCTGGCCCGCTGGACGCACCTGGCCCTCTGATCCTTGTCGCGCCCCTCAACATTGCGGCCCGCCTCCCGACTCCGGCCTGCCCCTGGCCCTGGCTGCCAGGTGTCTGTAGTGTTTGGCAACCTGAGCGAGGAGGACATCCTGCTGCGGCGGGAGCTTGAGGAGCTGGAGCAGCAGCACCCGGGGCGCTTCAAGGTGGGCACGCTGGACGGCCTGGGGGAGAGGGCGGGGGGATAATGCACGGGAGAGAGGAGGAGACAGAGGGGGGGACAAAGGTCAGACAGAGAAAGAGGGAGAGGGAGAGGGAGAGAGAGAGCGGGAGAGAGGGGAGGAGGCGGGGCGCAGGTGACTGTGAGTGTTTGCAAGGCTGTGCTCGTGTGTGTCTGCTGGGGCCAGGGGCGTGCCTCGGGGCAGCGCTTTTAGGGGCTGGAGGATGGGGTTGGAAGCTTTGGCAGTAATGAAGGGCAGCCGGGGACAATCGTGGGCAGATGTGATGGCGGTCAGGGTCGTGGGAGTAAGCTTGGCCTGCCATCAAACACGTTGGCCTTGATACCTACAAACGTGTGCGACACGCACACATGCTTGCTGTGTGCTCAGACGTCGCACAACACCCGCCCTGTTACTGGACACAAAATTCATCCAATTAGCAGCTTAATTCGGCTTGCGCTGTCAATCCCTGCTGCAAGCCAGCCATGAGGGACGTTCCACACTTGTGTTACCGCCCACCTCGGGCACCCTCACCCTCACGCCCAACCGCCCCCCCCCCCCTCTCGCGTGCCCGGCATCCTCAACCCTCCCCCTGGCCTGGGCACCCTGACCCCACCTCCCCACCTCCCCCCCAAAAAAGGTGTACCACGTCCTGAACAAGGCCCCCGAGGGCTGGCAGGGTGGCGTGGGGTTCATCTCCAAGGACACCCTGCAGCAGCGCCTCCCGCCGCCCGCCGACGACGTCATGGTGCTGCGCTGCGGCCCGAAGCCCATGAACGACGCCATGAAGGGATACCTCGACGCCCTCGGCTACGCGGAGGACGCGCAGTTTGAATTCTGATGTAGCTGAGTCAGATTTGAGCCGCGCACGACGTGGCGGGGCCTGACTTTTGTGGCGGCTGGAGGTGGGCCACGTGAGGGCGCGGCGCGGCGGCGGCCGGCCGGGGGCTGGAGGGTGCTTGCAGGCGCGCGCTCTGGCTTGGCAGACGGTGGCAACTCGGGACCCTGGCATTGCATGCGTCGCCTGTGAGCGCGTGCACGATAAGTGCACCTCACAGGGAACACCATTCTTTCCGGCACCGCTTTCAGGCGCCGCCAGGCGCCCGCGCACGCTTTTTTCCCCGCCAACAGCAGCAGCACCTCGCCGGCGTGCGGCACTCAACGGGCCTTGTAGCACTGGTGTGTCCCTGCTCACGGTGACCACGTCCGCCTGAAGGTTGACGGGTTCGAACAGGAGCGGGAGCAAGCTGAAGACTGAGAATTGTTTACACAGAGGCGCCTCGCAGAAAAGAAGCCAGTGGCGGGATGGCAGAGCGCACACAAAACAGG